TCCTGGAGGTAACTTCAGTTGCATTTTTTTAAAAGCACGAGCATCCGTTAAGAACTGCATTTATTCGGCTGTTGACTAATGGCTCTCTTACCTCTTCATGAAGCAGATAATGATTTTACACAGAATATCAAACTCAGGAGAAACAGACCCCACTAATGGAAGAAGAAATCTTTGTTATAAATTTATTGCATTACAAGGAAACATTGACAAAATTGAAAGCTTTAGAAAGAAAATATCACCAGGTTTTGATGAATACTACTTCTTTTAATGTGCCTGCTAGTTGTTTCTTTTTGTCTAATTGCTTTTTGAAAGGTTCATTAAGGAATTTCTGATTATTTTTGATAGCTAAAACATAAAGCACTAAATGGGTGCTAGAAAGCCGTGTGAAGGTCTGCAATTAATTCATATATTGCCACAATAGATTTTTCTCGGATCTTAATGTCTCTTTTGCACTCCAGATGCCATCTCAAAAAAAAAAAAAAAAAAAAATTGAACTTCCTACAGAGCATATGGATCAAATTTTAGCCAGCAGGGAGAAAATTGTTGACTTGGCACCGGGGATGTGTGACCTGGAGAGTACCTTTACAGCCAGCCAAGTCATCAGTTTCCTTCTCTGCCAGGCAGTGGCAGCTCTGACTCTTGAAGAAGGCCTTCTTTGCGTGTAAAGCCTGGGTAACTCAACTCCAGCCATGATGAACGGGTACTGCAAGTGCCCATAACTTTGAAAATTCAGTGCTCGGCATTGGGAGTGCAGCAGTCTTGCTCCTGAAAAATGGATGACAGGACTGAAATGATAGAGAATAACATGGAATTACTTAACGGGCTCCCACTCTAGTGAAGTCCTTGAACTAAGTCAGAAAAAACAGAAAACCAGAAACAACCTACAAAAACATGCACGCTCTTCTTCTCTTGGTGAGAAGAGTGAAGGAGGAGAAATCCACCAACATATGTGCCCCTGTGGCCAAGAAGGCCAATGGCATCCTGGGGTGCATCAGGAAGTGTGACCAGCAGGTGGAGGGAGGTCATCCTGCCCCTCTGCTCTGCCCTGGGGAGGCCCCATCTGGAGCACTGGGACCAGTTCTGGGCTCCCCAGTTCAAGGACAGGGAACTGCTGGAGAGGGGACAGCAGAGGCTACAAAGATGATGAGGGGACTAGAACATCTCTGTGATGAGGAGAGGCTGAGGGACTTGGGTCTTTTTTTGTCGGAAGGAGGCTGAGGGGGGATCTGATCAACACCTATAAATACTTGAAGGGTGGGTGTCAGGAGGATGGGGCCAGTCTTCTTTCTAATGGTGCCCAGTGACAGGACAAGAGGTAACGGGCACAAATTGGAACATAGAAAGTTCCACCTAAATTTGAGGAGGAACTTCGTTTCTGTGAGGGTGGCAGAGCCCTGGAAGAGGCTGCCCAGAGAGGTGGTGGAGTCTCCTTCTCTGGAGACATTCAAACCCACCTGGACACGTTCCTGTGGGACCTGCTCTGGGTGGACCTGCTCTGGCAGGGGGTTGGAGTGGATGATCTCCAGAGGTCCCTTCCAACCCCATATCACTCTGTGATTCTGTGATATGATGGTAAGAAGCACAGAGCTCAGATATTACAGGGGTGGACACAGGGTAAGAACCGAATAGAGTTCAAGCATCTTATAATTAGCTCTGTTCTTTTGTCCCTCTCCCTGTTGTGGAATCTTATGGTTTCTACTTTGCGTCAGGCATGTAATCTGAAATTGGGGCACCTTTCATTTCTTGATGGCTGTGTGCAAATTCTGGCAGTCATTTCTGTTCTTGTAGTTCAGTCCTGAGTGTTACATAGATGCTCACGCTGTTCTTTAAAGAAAAATATCTACAGAATGAAACAAAGACCACAGCAAAGCACAATGGAGAAACGGTATTTTATTACTTGGGTTGTAAAGTAATTTAGTGTGCAGTTGCTCAAACAAAAAGATTGCTAAGAAAGAGTAATACAGATTTATGGATGTCCCAATCAGTAATTTTAATCCAAGAGTTGTTTTTTTTAAATCTGTGATGCTTTGGTATGAAAATGCAAGTTCATTTTAAAAGACCTAGATAAATACTACTTTTAAAAACTGAGTTGAAATATCTCAATTAAATTTTAAAGTAAGTTTTTTCACTAACCACTGACAGGACAGAAGGGACGTACCCAGGTTTCTGTGCTTATTTGCAAATCACAGGTATATTTATCAATAGTGTGGCTAGTCTTAAATCTAGCAACAGTTTTTTGTGATTTCTTGGTAAAAAAAAAATAAAAATGAGGTAAAAATGCTAACAGTGAAGATCCTTTTCCTAATCTATCACGTCACTGAGGCTATTTTCTCTGCAGGAGACACCTGCACTCCCATCCTTCAGTGCTCAGAGAGGTTCCTGTCAGGGAGCTGCTGGAGACCTTCAACCAGGAACACGAAGCTCTTGGCAAGGAACTGTCTGTGTTCACGTCTCCTTAAATCGCCTAATCCATATCAAAGGATAATCTGTCAGTTAAGTGTTATGGGAGCTGTGGGATTACCAGATGTGTCTGTTTAGAAAGCTAATTCTGCATTTGGCCTTCCCAGTCGCTAGTGTGTCTCCCAAGCCAACTGGAAAGTCTAGATTATATGTCTGGGTGAGAATTAAGAGAGGGAAAAGAAGGTCTAAGGAAATAGGTATGGATGCCAGAAATATCCAGCAACCTTGGAGATATTGGTCCCTTCCAACCTCAACCATTCTGTGACTCTGTGGGAGAAAAATAAAAATCACAACCAAAACCCCTGAGGTTTTACCACCAAGAATTTAGGATCTAGCTAATTGCACAATATGCATAGACAGTTACGCTATCTTTAAAATCTCCCTTAATGAGTTCTCTTTTCTATTTGTATTGCTGATTGTTTCTTTGCTTCTTTTCTGCCGTCCTCTTACTGGTCTGCACAGAGCAGTGACAGTTTGCAGGTCCTGGCATGGTCAGGACCCAGCAGGTCTGGAAGTAACTGCTGCTTCGAAAAACAAGTCAGGCTGCGCAGGGCTGTAGAAACATATGTTCTCATTTTTACATCATGGGAGGGAGGCAACAATTTACGAAGTGGGAGACTTTTATCTGTTGGAGCAGTCAGGGTTCTGGTGAGATTTGTGAAATTTTACAAACATCCTCATCTGATGGGAATCGTTAGAGCCGCTATAGAAAACCTGCATCGCTGGCAATTACCCTTATGATTGTATGATCCTCATTAGCCTGATTAAGCCAGCTTAGCACCATATTATTTAAGAGGCACCAGGCAAAGCAGCTGTACTTTGCTGGAGATGAGATGCTAAAACTCTGAGCTGATATGAATTTTAGAAGACTATCAACATGCTAAACATCCAAATAAAAAAGGCTATTTTTTTAGTGGCTATTATGGAAAATAAGAGCCACTCTGCCTCACTGAGAAAGCAAAACCAAATGACCAAAACCATTAAAGAAGTCTACAAGGTATTGCTTATGTTACAGGGTACACTGCAAAGTCTCTTTGTAATAGACTTACACCTGACCTCCTTCTAGGTAGAGGCAGAAGTTTTAGGTCAGTAAGGAGGACTTTGAAATCAAACGACAGTCAGTGGCTGCGGGAGCAGAACTCACAATCTTTTGACTCCTGACAAAACTCATCCTTTTCTTCCAACGTTTACTGAATTGGGAGAGGCTTGTACCTTTCCTTGCTTTTGCAGAACACGGCTTGATTGGGAGCAGGCAGCCTGATTCAGCAGATGTGCTGGGTGTTCCCAGTTACCTGAGCATTCTTCAAAGCTGTTTTGTGCTTTTAAGCAATTCTTATGAAAGAACAGAACACGTCTAATTTATTGGTTTGTGGGTTTGTTGTTTTCTTTGTTTGTTTGTTTTTAACAGGTGGATGCTGATACAGCAGAATCAGTTACTGCAGAAGAACCGAAGAGTCAAATCCAGAGAAGTATGCTTTTATTTGTTCTTTAAAGAGGAAAAAAAGAAAAAAAGAGCTGGTTACGACCCTGCTTCCAGAAAAGGTGGGGAACTAATTACTTGAAGCGGAGAAAGAACAAATACTGCTTCTTTTGATGTGGCCATTAACTCGCTGCTCCCCGGAGCCGGCTGTAAATCCCTCATTTTGGACGGAGATCCCCCCGGCCGCCTGAGGGAACCCGGCACAACCCCAGCCCAGGGCGCACCCACACGGCTGACGGAATTATTCCGTTAAGCCTCTCGGTGGGGATTTCACCGATATCCTCAGAAAAACTAGCATTTTGAGTGGCAGTCCCTCGCTGTAGACCCTGCCACCCCCCTTTCCCTGCCCTCTCAGGGACCGGTTTCTCTCCCTCAGGTGAAGTTGGCGAGGGCCGCCCAGGCCCCTCAGGCCGGGGGACTCCCGGGGTGGCCGGAGAGCGGGAACCCGGCTCCACCGGGGGAGAAGCCCGTCGCCGGGAGGGCACGGCGGAGGGAAGGAAGGAAGGAAGGAAAGCAACCAGAGCGGCCCCCGCCTCCCCTCCCGCTCTCCTCCCCCTTCTCCCTCGCTCCCCGCCTTTCGTGCGCCGGAGCCCGGGCGTTAACGGGCGCCACCGGCCGCGGCGCTGACAGGAGCCCCCCTTCCCACCTCCCTCACACACACACACACCCCCCAGCCCCGGCCATTGGCTTCGGTGAGCGGCGCTGTGGCGAGGGGCGGCAGCTCCCAACGCCGCTCTTCCCGTAACCAAGGCGCTGCCTGGCGCACACACACACACAGACAGACACACACACCGACAGACAGACAGACACACAGGCCGAGCGCGGGCGCCTTGGCAGCTCTCCTCCTCCCTGCACCATGCTCCCCTGCCGGCAGCGCCCGCCCGCCGCTCCCTGAGGGGAGAACCGGCCCCGGCTGCCCCCC